CTGAAATGATGTATAAAAATATTCATGACCATTATTAGAACGGAGAATCTTAATGTGTACACCAAATTGGTTGCGAATTTCAGCGTAAAATTTTGGAAAATGAAAAACAATTCACTCATTTCTTTCATTAGGTAAAGCCACATCATCCTTGAATAATCATCAACAATAATAACAAAATATTTATAACCATTGTATAACATTATTTTATTTGGACCCCAAACATCTGAATGTACTAAAGAAAGGACTTGACATATGATTATCAACCCTAGGACTAAAGGGAACACGGTGATGTTTCCATAACTGACATGACTCACAAACCAAAATAGAAGGATGACTCAAACGACGAAACAAGAGACTTCAAAACTTTAAGTGATTGATGACCAAATCTACATTGCCACTGAAGAGGAGAAAGAGATGTCTGAAGAGCTGTTGACGCATTGTCACTACCATGAAGATGATACAATCCACCAGCTTCATGCCCTCCACCAATCTTCATCCCCGTCTTGAGATCCTAAACAACACAAGAAGAAGGGTAAAAAGTGATGGAGCAATTAAGGGACTTGGTCAACTTACTAATAGACATAAGATTAAAAAGAAACTTGGGAACATACAAAACTGAGGATAAAGGGTCTATATTAACATTACCAACACCACAAATGGAAGGTGTCGAACATTAGCAAGGGTAACAGAATGTGATGTCGGGCATTGAGAAAGGGAGGAAAACACACCTGGAGTTCTAGTCATGTGATTGGATGCTTCAGAGTCAATAATCTAGGGGTTGGGTTTGGATGCCAGRCAAGCCATACCTAAGTGTGCAAGAGTGGCTATATTCTGTTGACATGTGGCCTGAACAAATCTCTCATAGTCATCACGTGGAACACTCATCATCTTCTTCCGGGGAACATCTATAGATATAGAGGGCATCTGATCAGCTTGATGACCCTCCTGTCTGGAACTACTATCACCGGTCACCGCATGATTTTCCTAAGTTGAAGGTGGGCCATGCAAATCATAACAATAATTGATGGTATGTCCTTCTAAACCACAGTGTGTACATCTTCTTGGACCAGAACTATGCCCTCTACCACGAACTCCCCTGAATCTCGACCTCCAATACGTCCACCACGACTATACATAAGTCCACCACCAACACTACGATCATACACCGGTCCACTACTACCACTACGGCTAGATTGAGCTCCCTGAGCTCCACCTCTAACACCAAGACCTCCCCCTCTTGACACTGCAAAGGCCGACCTATCAGAGATATTATAATTCTCTGTAGGCCCAATAGAGATCCTGCGAAGACGAGCAAACACCTCTTCTAAAGACGAAAGAGCTGACCCTCCTAGTATTTGTGCCCTCACTGGTTCATATTCAGGTTTCAGTCCTACCAAAAATCTTTTCACATCTAGTTGTTCTCTCTGTTGTTGTTGAATTCTAACGTCAGAGGTGAGGGGATGGCACACATTCAGCTCATTGCAAAGGTTTCTCATGCTAGCATAGTATTCCTCAAGATTCTGATTACCCTGTTGCAGGTTAAAGTATTCATGATAATATGTATACACTCTATTTGTGTTGTCTTGTCCCTAATACAACTTCTTGGCATGGTCCCAAACCTCCTTGGCTGTATCAAGGAACATGAAATTCATACTGATCTTGGGTTCCATACTATTCCATAACCAGGTTAGAATCTGTGCGTCCTCTTGTTCCCAATCACCATACTCATGAGACTCAGTAGAGGGTTTTCTTCCCTTATATGCTTCACTTTCTTCTTAGCTTTAAGAAAGACCTCTACAGATTTCGCCCAAGGCACATAGTTTTCCCCATTCAATTTGATAGAAGTCATATGAATATTCAGGTAGTCGGTGGGAACCTTCACACTAGTTTTGTTTTCACTGTTATCTCCCATATCTTAAAATTATTTTTTTTTCTAATTCACTTCTCACCACACTGCACACAACACCACATTGCACTCAACACCACCCATCGCTAAATTCTTCACTCTCCACACCACAACCCTACTACACGACAACCTGAATTCTCACCACACTACTTGGAACTCACTAACCATTTGATCCTCATTGAAATCTGCACAAAACCCACCTCTCTAATCACCAAACAATCGACCTGCACTTAACACACCACTGCATCACCCGAACCAACTCTCTTCTCACCATCGATTAGGGGGGGCTTCTTACAAATCACTGCAAACACCCACAAACCTGCTGACCGGAGGCATAGAAACCTCCAAGGGGAAAGGGCGACCACTCCTTTTCAGCCCCTTTCCTATCTTCAACCGATGATGAAGAGAAAAATAAAAAACCCTAGGCTGAATGTGAGAAAACCAGAATTCTGGGCAGATTCGGTTTTGTCACAATAGCTCTGATACCATATTATAAACCTGATCTGCACTAGAATTCTGTTAGAATTAGAGTTGAAGAAATATCAGAGAGACTAGAAGAAGTAGAAGAAGAAGAGAGGAGAATAGAGAAGAAGAAAATTCTGGTTCGAACTAGAGAACTTAGTTCTCTCTAGTCAGCCGGATTAAATTATATGTTTCTATCCTTATTAACAAAAAACTACTATGTCCTTACTTAAGTTTGGGACACATCACCTACCATAAACATTACACATCAGCTTTAAACATAAATATAAAGACTAAAATACCCCTATACATTCGACACTAACAAAGTGTTACAATCCTATCGCTCGGAAGTCATTTGTCTATCCTGATTTCACTTTTTTTTGAGCCCGTGCCGTTGGTGATCCCATTCTAGTTGTTCCTATTATGTCTGAGCCTTCAACTCCTTTAGTGCAAATTCCTACTGAACGACCGCCGATCCGGCATGTGTATACTCATCGACAGACACTGGCACTTCCTCCAGCTTCTACCTCATCTGCGGATCCTATAGTTGCTCCTATCCCAGAATTGCTTACCTCTTCTGACCTAGATCTTGCCATTGCATTGTAGAAAGGTAAACGTAGTTGTACCCTACATCTCATATTCAATTATGTTTTTGTTTCTCATCTTTCCACTTCACATTGCCAATTTGTTTTTTTGTTGTCCTCTATATCTATACCTAAGGATGTCCAGGAGGCTCTTACTTTAATGGGGTGGTGTAAAGCAATGGAGGAGGAACTCTCTGCTCTTCAACATAATCACACGTGTGAGCTCACCACTCTTCCTCTAGGTAAGCATGTTGTAGGTCGTAAATAGGTGTCTACTGTTAAATTTTTACCAGATGGTAGTGTGGAATGGTTGAAAGCCCGATTGGTTGCTAATGGTTACTCTCAATTGTATGGGGTGGATTATATGGAGACCTTCTCTCTTGTTGCAAGATTGGTTCTGTTCGTGTATTGATTTCTTTGGCAGTTTATGTATGATTGGCCTTTGTTTCAACATGACATTAAAAATGCCTTCCTCCATGGTGATCCTTTTGGAGGAGGTCTACATGGAGCAACCACTAGGGTTTTTTGTTTAGGGGGAGGATGGTAAAGTGTGTAGAGTCAAAAAATCAGTTTATGGGCTGAACTCGTGCTTGGTTTGGGAAGTTTAGTGAAGTGGTGAAAGATTTTGGAATGAAACAATGCCAGGTTGATCACTTAGTGTTCAACTATGATTCTGAAGCTGAAAAGATTTTGTTAGTGGTTTATGTAGATGATATAGTCATAACTGGTAGTGATAGAGTAGGGATTGACAGGCTAAAGGCCTTCATACAAGACCATTTCCAAACAAAAGATTTTGGGAAGTTGAAGTATTTCAAGGGTATAGAAGTTGCCAGGTCGAAACAAGGTATAAATTTGTGCCAAAGAAAATATGTTCTTGATCTGTTGGAAGAAACAGGGTTGCTAGGTGCTAAACCAGCTGAAACACCCACGGAACCAAATGCTAAGTTGAGCAATGATGCAGGTAAAATGTTTGATGATCTTGGAAGATATAGGCGGTTAGTGGGGAAGCTGAACTACCTAACCATTACTAGACTAGACATCTCCTTTGCTGTCAGTGTGGTGATCAAATTTATACAAAATCCTTGAATACCTCATTGGGATGCAGTTCTTAGAATTGTACGGTATTTGAAGGGAGCTCTAGGTCGTGGGTTGTTGTACAAGCTAGGAGGAAGTCTTGAGATAGTTGGTATACAAATGCAGATTGGGTAGGCTCGGTGTTTGACAGGAGATCCACTACAGGGTATTGCACGTTTCTTGGAGGAAATCTGGTGACATGGAAAAGTATGAAGCAAACTATTGTGGCGAGTAGTGCTGAAGCTGAATACAGGGCCATGGCACATATCACATGTGAACTAGTATGGTTGAAAAATCTTCTACAAGTTGGATTCTTAATGAGCAAACCTATGAAGATTGTACTGTGATAATCAAGCTGCAATCTACATCTCATCTAATCCAGTTTTTCATGAGAGGACGAAACATATAGAGGTTGATTGTTATTTTGTAAGGGAGAAAGTCCTTAGTGGAGAAATAAGCACAAAGCACGTTAGTTCGGGTGATCAATGGGCAGACTTGTTCACAAAAGGTTTGAGTTCAGGGAGAGTGAACTATGTAACAAGCTGGGATTATATGACATATATTCTCCAGCTTGAGGGTGTTAAGAGTTGGCTGAGTAGGGTAACTTAGTGTTTTTCATTTTACTTTAAGTGGTGACTTGGCAATACTATTTTATTTTAAATTTCTTGTCCCATACTTAAGTAGGGGCATATTTGACTTTGTACCCTTAATGAATACAATAAAAGGTTATGGTTGACTAGGAGGGTTTAGACTCTCTGGTTCGACATATTTCTCCTTTCTCCTCTTCTCTCCTCTCTCTCTCTCTCTATCTCTGAACAGAACTTTTGTCTGAACCATCAAAGCAACTAAAATGCTTCCTAGGACAATTATTTGGGATCCTACTACAAAAGCAAACTCAAAACATATTTATATCATTTTCTTTAATCTTTGTTTTTTGGCTCATCACATTTTGACTAATTTTTCTTGTTTTCCAGTTGGCAGACTTTGTGAGAATACCTCTAGAAAGAGCTGGGGGTATGATTGCTCTAATTGATGTCTACTGTCTCTTCAATCGTGCTCGGGGAACAGGTATTTTTTTGTGGATCAGGTTTTTGTTCTATACTTCTCTTGATTAATTTGTGTTTTTTTCCCTTCAATACAGAACTTATTTCACCAGAAGACTTGTTACAAGCCTGTGCTATTTGGGAGAAATTTGATGTGTATGTTCAACATAACACTAAAGCTCTTTAGTTTACAAATTGCCATTTAATAAACTTAAAATGTAAAAACAGAAACTATTGACAAATCTAAGTCTATTTTAGACCGTCATTAGGTATGACATAAAGCTGTATGAAGTTCTTATTCACATACTCTTATTTGTTTACTTTGGGATAATTTTTGTATACATTTGTGTTCTGCCCAGCAGCCCAGTAATGCTTAGAAAGTTTGACAGTGGAGTCATGGTAATCCAGAATAAGTCTCACAGTGATGAGGAGGTATTTCTTATTGGCTTTCACTATTCTATCTCAACATGTTTATCTAGTTACGATTAAAATTACTTGAACACAAAATAGGAGCCACCTATTTTTTGAGGAACCAGTAGTCATTACACTAGGCACATGCCTTTAGGTGAAAAGGGTGTCAAATCTGGTGCTTGAAGAGGTTTAATTGTCATGTAATGTAGTGTTAACCTCTGTTTTTATTTAATTACATTCCTAAGCACATGCCTTGTTTGAGAAAAGAGGGGTATAATACTTGGTGACCGTAAAGGTTTAATAGTCATATAGTCTTAGGTGGCATTTGATAAATCTGAAATCTGAAAAGTTAAAAAGATATTAAAAGTGTCTGAAATATGAAAAGAGCCATAGTTTCTTTTCGACTTTTTAGAGGCTCTGAATAAAGAAGGTTGTTTGTGTTGGATCAAACCTTCAGCATCTGAAATTCATTGATTTTACTATTTTACCCCTAAAATAGTAAATTTTGGTAATTTTGAGTTCAATTTGCATTATTTCATAAAAAATGATTTATTAAATTCAAAATTACTATTGAAAAATACATATCAATTTGTAAATTAAAAATAAATTATAAAGAGTTAATATAATAATGAAAATAGTAATGAAGATGATGAAGCAATAAAAAAAATTAATAATTATTAAATTAATATCTTAATGTTGAGATGGAGGATTGGTTCTATCAAAGTCTCTGAAGGAGGTGAATCTGCCAAAGTCAGATTTTGTTTAATTTTAATCTGTGTTTTAATGAGATGAATTTTTAGTCTCTGATAACTCCTTCAATGGCTGCAAAATATACAAGGGGAGTAGTATAGGGAAGGGGATGGTCCTGTGTTTTAATGAGTGGAATTTTTGGGCCTCCGAAGTACAAAAGTTTGGGGATTCCCTTTTCAATCTGCCTATTCACCTGTCAGTCGATCCGCCTTCCTTTTCCCATCAGTTTGCAAAGCCAATCTCGTCGGAATTTGACTTCGCCGAACCAGAAAACTGTGAATACAAAACATTTATAGGAGGATCGGGTGAGGGGTGTCATAAACGAACCTGCTTAAAGGATTATAAATCCTCGGCCTTCGACATAACCAAAAGTTGGCTTGCCTGTGGCTGGAATGCCGCTCTTCTCCTCTGGTGGTGAGAAGGTCGGGTCAAAGCAGCCAAGGCATGTTTAACCCACTTGCCCTCAATAGTCCCGATCCACCCTCAACAGATTCATCTCTCATTAAAACCTACAGAGCCCCCCACTCTCAGAAGCGGTGGTGGCGGGAAAGAAGAAGAAGAAGAAGACGAAGGAGAAGAACTTCCCAGCGACGAATCTCCTTTCTTGAATGGGGGGAGGAGTTGAATGACCTAATTTTGGCTTATATGAAGGGCATTACGGTCATTTTAAAATTTTTATGGGGCTCTTTTGTCTTTCACCTATTTTAAAATTTTGGCTTATAGTATAGGCTTTTTACATTAAGTTTTTTGTTAATTGTACTTATGAGTAGATCTTAATTTAGTTGATGTGGCTCTCACTTAAGTGAAGGTATAAGTGTAATTCTGGTTTGTTTAGAAAGGTATAAATAAAGTCTTTCACCTATTATTATTATTCTGAGATCATACGGACACTACATCTGAATTTTATTATGGTATTAGAACCATGATAACTAGTTCAGATCAATCTTCTTTTCTCTCTCTGTTCTGTGCATACTCTCCCAGGGTTTTGCAGAATTCTCATTGATAGCTAGGAGTTTCTCAAAAAGAAAAAAAATGGATTGATCATTTTCTCCTTCTGGGGGTTTTCATGCTGTTAATGTCGACTATGTAGGGGTATTTTAGTATTTATATTTATGTTTAAAGCTGCTGATGTGTAATGTTTCTGTTAGGTGATGCGTCCCATACTTAAGTGGGGACAAAGTAGTCTTTTGTTATTATGGATAGAAACATATAAGTTCAATCTGGCCGACTAGAGAGAAATCGGAGTTCTCTAGTTTGAACCAGAATTTTCTTCTTCTCTATTCTCCTCTCTTTTTTTTTTGATAAATGAGTGAAATTTTTTTAAACCAGCAAATAAGAGTTACATGCATCCCGTGGAAAGGCACGAGATGTGACCTTTCCTTTAAAACTAATTACAGAATTATAAGTACAAAAGAAATTACACTGAAGCCCAAAATAAAGTATCTCGGGAAACCCCTTGTTTTGCAAGTGAATTCAGCCAATGAGTTTGCTGATCTGCCTACCCACTAAACTCTGATTGTCATATTCCTTGTTATCCATTTAACCTTTTTGAGAAGATCTCTAAAACCCCAAATAACAGTGTCTGGATCCTTCAACCAACCCACTATCACTTGGGAATCCCCTTCAATAATCAGATGCTCTATGCCTAGCTGATTTGCAAGCTGGATTCCTTGTACAGCAGCCCGTAATTTGGCCCTTAAAGAGTCTCCCACACCCACAGGACCTGAGTACAAAGATATCACGTTACTATCTTTGTTTCTCAGCACTCCTCCTATGCCTGAAGGTCCTGGATTTC